CATTTCAAGTCCGACTACTTTAACTTAGTCAAAAACTCCTGCATGTGAAATGAAATTATTGTTCCGACTTTCGATACGAAAGTAACGGAATATTTGTGCTCGGGGTGGGTTTTTTTTTCTTCAGACAATTTCGACTTTTTAACTAGCCATTTTTGACGGAATTTTTTAAAATCTTTCGAAACCCATTGTTGTCCTGAACTTAAATTTGAAAAGACATTTCACCTGTGATCATTTTTCGTAAAATTATGAGGGTTTAAAGATTGTCATTTTGACCAATTTGGGACAATTAACGCGCGATATAATTCGCGCTATTAACGCGTAAGCGGAGATTTAATCCGTCTTATAAATCGTTCCAAATTGGTTGAACGAAGCTTTTTTGCCATAATTGATTTGTTACAAAGAACGAAATCTATCTTTTTGTACTTTATATGACGTGTGGGGGGATGATTTTCATAAAAAATTTCAAATTTTGGAAAAAAAATGTTTCATTTTGTTTTATTTCATTTGATTTTTTATGTTATTACTGCTGCTCCATAAACCTTAAAAGGCTGTCGGAACATTCAGGGCTTCGCCCTGATACGAGCAGTCTTGTATTAATTTTGTTTTCAATTAAAATCGGATATCAGCAAGAGCAAACTGTTTCTATGCTAATTGAGCGCATTGCACTGACTGCTCTTTGTGTCTATTTTTGTTCCGACTTTCGATACGAAAGTAACGGAATATTTATGCTCGGGGTGGGTTTTTTTTCTTCAGACAAATTTCGACTTTTTAACTAGCCATTTTTGACAAGATTTTTGTATCACTCGAAAGGTATTGTTGTCTTGAGCTTAAATTTGAAAAGATCTTTCACTTGTGATCTTTTTTCGTAAAGTTATGGCGGTTTAAAGATTACCATTTTGGCCAATTTGGGACAATTAACGCGAGATATATTTCGCGCTATTAGCGCGTAAGCGGAGGTTTAATCTGTCTTAGAAATTATTCCAAATTGGTCGAAGGAAGCTTACTTGTATAATTGATTTGCTACTAGGAGCAAACGTTATCACTTTGTACTTTATAGGGCGTGTGGGGGAATGATTTTCATACAAAAAAAAATTTCAAATTTTAGAAAACAAATTAAATTTTGTTTTCTTACATTTAGTTTTTTATATGTTATTACTGCTCCATAAACGTTACAATGCAGTCTGAACCTTCAGGGCTTCGCCCTGATTCGAGTAGCCTTGTTTCTTTTTCAGAAACAATTTTCTTCTGACTTTGGTAACGAAAGTAACGGAAAATTTATGCTCTGTGTTTTTTTTTCATCAGACAAGTTTTAACTTTTTAAATATTTTGACGGAATTTCTTACATCATTCAAAAAGTATTGTTGTCTTGAGCTTAAATTTGAAACAATTTTTTGTCCTGTGATCATTTTTTGTTAAGTTATGGGGGTTTAAAGATTGCCTTTTGGTCAATATGGGACAATTAATGCGCAATAAATTCGCGCTATTAACGCGTAAGCGGAGATTTAATCCGTCGTAGAAATTTATTTGCAATGATTGTGTTCCGACTTTCAAAGAAAACGGAATGTTTAAGCTCGATGTGGTTTTTTTTTATTCAGTCAATTTTTGCCGATCGAAATAATAGGTTTCGACAAAAGTTTTAAACCCCATTGAAGATATTGACTTTCTGAGTTCAATTTAAAAAAGATATTTTTCCTCCAATTGTTTTCTTTGAGGTTCTGGGGGTTTGAAAGTTGCCAAATTGGCCATGTTCTGGGCTAAACTATGCGCGCTTTGAAGAATTTATTCACATTGCTGAGAGCGAAACGTGAATTATTTATGCGCGGCGGATTATTCCGCACAACAAAATCGTTCCAAATTGAATTGAGGCTAGCAATCATATTGGCGTATTAATTTCGTACTTCTCAACCTTTCACACTTTGATATTTTCACGGTTTTCAATATTTTTTTCCCCAAAAACTATTCGATATGAATTAAGGGACAGTCGGAACATTTAGGGCTTTGCCCTAATATACGAGCAGTCTTGTTTGTTGCTAGGAGCGAATTCTATCACTTTCTACTTTGTATGGCGTGTGGGTGGTTGTTTTTTTTTACAAAAAAACTTAAATTAAAAAAAAATCTTTTATTTTCATTACATTTGAATTTAACTGCTCCATAGACCGACATTAAACAGCCGTCGGAACATTCAGGGCTTTGTCCTATTTCGAGCACGTTTGTTCTCTTTTAGTTCCGAATACTTCGCGAAATTTTGTGTAGGGTGTTTTTATTTTCCGCCAAATTCTTACAAGTAAAGCAAGTAAGGGATCAAGTGTCATATTAAACCCCTATTAGTCAAGGTTCAGATTCTCAAAAACATTTGAAAAAAATCTCTTAACTTTTTTGTTTTTCAGACTAAATGGCAAAACTTACAAAAAAAACACTGAAATTGAACTCTCAATTTAAACATGGTGCAATCAACATATTATCGTAACTCTTTTTACACCTGGTTGTTGCAGTTGTTTCTAATATAATCACTCCTTACTGAACAAAATCAGGAGAAAATCTAAAGAGATGTCGATTACTTTTTTGGATTTTCTTACTTCAATCATTGTAGTCGGAACATTTAGTGTGATAACAGCATCCAGCAACCGATTATAAATAGTTTGAATTTTTAACTTTGTTTACTGGAAGAAAGACATAAACTTTAACTTCCTCAAAAATTTGGAATCTTGGTACAAGTATTTTTAAAACCATTCTTCATTCAATGAAAAAATATTTGTTCTAATTTCTAGAGAGAAACTATTCCATGCCCGTTTTTGTCGACTTCATGTTATGATGAAATTTTTCAATGCCGCTCTAATAGCGAATGAAAAGTTGGAGTATGACGATTTCATCCTACACTGAAATGTGCTACTTGGTTTTTCATGGACTAGACTCAATCGCGTTACAAATAACTTCCCAACTTGAGGGAGCCTCAAGCACATGAGTAACTGATTGCTTTAGTTATCCAAAATTGCTTTTGTTATGCAGTTTATAACAAGCTTTTAAATTTGTTTACTTAATCGATTATTTGTTAAAATTTGACCAAAATTTTTTCTTCCATCTAACCATTATCCGTGCAATGAGCTTTAAACTCAAAAACTTAATTTGTTTGTTAATATGAATCATTAAGTTACTGAGGGCTAAAAGTTATTTTTGTCAGTTTGTACGATGATCATTCTGCAAGAAAACTCCATTTTCCAATTAAAGAGGCGAAATATTCCGGCACAAAGTCACTCAGATTTAATTGAGGCAATTTGCATAGTTTTGATTGTAAGTTGGGTGTGATGAAAAGATTAAAAAGAAGTTTCTTTAAAAAAATTATCAATTTTTTGATGAAAACTTTCCTTTGAGACACCCCATGTACAATCAGATTATTCAGGGAATCGGTTTGATACGAGCAGGCTTGTTTTGTTTCAAAGTAGCCTGAAATGGGAAGTTCTTCAAAAAACGGTTTAATTCTCTCAAATTAGTTTAAGATTAGACAACAGGGGAAGAACACAAAGTTTGTAGAATTTCACGATAACTGATCTAGTGAAATTTTTCCCTTTGAAATTCTGAACTATCATTCACCCCAAAAATGGGTCTTTTCGGTTTTTTTATCTATCAAGAACTACGCTGAAACTACCGTGTTAATTAATGACAAAGTCAAAATTTTAGAAAGGCAAATTTTTGAGAAAGGTAGAATGGGAAAAATGGAAGTGTAAGAGGCTTTTTTTTATATAACTTTTTTTTATCAATTAACCCAATAGCTGCAGCGTATTTCTCGATTAACTAAAAAAATGACCCATTTTTGGAGGAAAACGTTGGCTGCAAATTTCGAAAAATGAATTGCATCATATTAATTCTAGTGAATTTATGAGCATGTGTGGTTTTGTTCATATTTGTCTAATCCTAACCCAAATTGAAAAAAAGCCTTAGAAATTTCAATTTTGATTTTTTTTTTCGGATAATTTACTTCAGCACTGTTCGTGCTGATTGAAAATCCGGAAAAAATGAACAAAACTTGAATTTTCAAACACGTTTTTCTCAAATTGGGCTAAGATTAGACAAAATGTAAAGGGGAACAAAAGTTGCTTAGAATTTAATCAGAATTAATATGGGTGCAATTTTTTCTCCGAAATTCGCAACCGAAATTTTACCCCAAAAATGGGTCATTTTGGTTTTTTTAATTAATCGATAAATACGCTGAAACTACTGCGATAATTGATAAAAAAATTAAGTCACAAGAAGCTTCTTACACAGCCCAACAAAATTCTAGAAGGGTTGAAAAATCTGTATACGAGAAAATATTTTTGCCTGATAGTTAAGAAATGTGATTCCTACTAGGCCAAATTTTGGTTGAAATTCTGGTATTTATTTTAATGCTGGTTCGAATTAATGCAAAATTAATTTAGAAACTGCATGTGTTCGAAGCTTGTCTGTTCTCGACAATTTAATCGAACTATTTGGAATTTTGTTTGCAATTTTTTGTATGCACATAAGTATTTAAGATGTTTGTTTTCCAAAATTATTCAGATGTTTGGACTTTTAGTTTTTTACGGAACCCTGGGTATCAAGAATATCCATAAGAAATTGCCCAGAAGATAAATCACGACCACTCATTTGCAAAAGAATAAAATTTGAGCGAAGGATGTCGTGGAATTCTGTTCGAAACTTTGTCACAGGATACAGAACTTCAACTAGTTCAGGTGATACAACGCTTAAAATAGTTTCAACCAATTTGAAAAAAATATAAATGTTTTTTTTTTCAAGTTTTCCTAGTCTTAATCTCATTTAATTATTTCAGATTGGATTACATCAACTAGAGAAAGTTTTGCTCGCAAAAAGAAAGACAATGGTGTTATTGTAGACCCGCCATGGAAACTGAAAACCAAACAGAAAGATTCCGAAACCCACAGCAATCATTTTGAAGAGCCCGTTTTAAACGAGAGAGCGTCGGGGGCAACATTTCTAGTTGGGTTAATTTTTATCGTCATTTTGTTTCTGCTTTGTTCGAAACGACGGGCCAGAAGTAGTGTCAGACGATTTTCAGCCTTGTGGATATAATTTTTTGAATCTCATTTGCCGGTTAGCTTCTAACAGTTCTAACTTTCTATTGTGATAACCCTCGCAAATCCCAAGTTTCGCATGAATAGTCATTTTATAAGAAAAACATCCGAGAGAGGAGAGAGAGAGAAAGTATCTGAATCATTTTAATGGAGCCAAAAAAAAACAGCAAACGCATGAAAACATAAAAATCAACGTGTACAAATTGTTTATGTCAAAAAAATTCACTCGAAAAATTGTTCACGAATTAAAAAAAGCAAGAAAAATGAGAATAACAAAATTGTTTACGAAATTGTTCACAAATATTCGTGAAAAATTGTACACGAATAAAAAAAAGCAAGAAAAATGAAAATAAAGAAAAAGCAAATTGGTCTTTGAATGATTGAAGTTGATTTGTGTCAATCAAAGAGTCCTCATAATGTCGTGTTCAATATCGACTTGTTACGCTTTATTGATATCAGTTTCAGTTACAACATTAGTTATTACCTTTTCATCGTGTATAACTGCAGTTGTTAACAAAAATCGTCAATATTATTATGCCATTTTAAATGATACAACTCCAAACGCTATTGCAGTCTTAGCTATTGTTATCTTGTTGTTTAGTTCTGCGGTATCATCAGCATATGCTATTTGGGCATTTGTGGCCAAAAAACAATCAGTAAATTTCATAGGGTTATGTACAAGTGCTATAGCTTTAGTCGGTAAGTTATGCTCAGATGTTTAGAAAATTTGATGCTTAGAAATTTGAAATCATAACTTAGCACCGTTTGCTTGCAGTCTTTTACAATGTTTTTTTCCGAGCAAACGAGCAAAAAAATGTACACTAGTGGACAAAATTAAAAGCAAACGTTTATACTCTGAAATGACTAATTTCTAGAAGGATTTGGACAATTTTTTTCCAGAAATTTCAACAAAATTTTTCATTCAACGAGAGCAAACTTTCTCGCCTATACCCTCTATGATATTTCATTTCAAAGGACTCACCAGTTTAGTCCGGGTCTTAAAACTCCAGTTTTCACCAGCTGCATTGATGTTGATATTTTCATGGAGAGTAGCTGAGAAAGTTTGCTCTCGGTCCATGAACACATTTTGTTAAAACACCTGGAAAATTGTGCCCAAATGATTCTAGAAAGGGCATTTCCTAGCACAAATTATTTTTGCGTTTAGTTTACTCACAAGTGTATTTACAAAAATTGTGTTTTGTTGAAAACTGTATGTGTTTCAGTCTACTTAATTTTGATGCCACTATGGTGTCACGTTTCATTCTCTCCCATGAAAGACCTGACGCGGAGTGTAGACCATTCGTTGAACCAGGACTACAAAAACGAGTTGTCACTGTCGAGAGTAACAGTTGCATGGAGTTTCTTGCAAGCGAAACACGGAACTTGTGGAGTTGATGGGTATGAAGATTGGGCACAAAGTCAATGGAGTCGAGAAAAAAATACAGCCGGTGAGAATTTTTCTCTGGTTTCAGTCTTCGGCGTTCCTATTTTTTAGATTAGCAGACAAAGTTTAGCATTAGCTTGTATACTCTAAAACCCTCTCCAATATCTTTTTCTCTTGCGGACCCCAATATGCTCAATTCAATTTGCATTTCAATAAAAGTGCTGATCTGCTTTCTATGGGAAGGCATTAGTGAAGAAAATTAAGCGCAAATTTAGGTAGTTAATCAGCAAAACGTCATGAAGTTTTTCGGACAACCTTATTTGAGAATACAATTTTTTTTCTTCAAATCGACATTAAACAAAAGACCCGAGCTGCCGTTTATGAAAGTGACTGTATTAGCTTTCAGTGAGTTTCCTGTTTGACCCAATTCTGAAAATGCCAGTTGATTGTATGTAGTTTTTTTGTAAAAGATCAACCAAATATTGATGCTTTCACTGTGTATACAACAGAGTTTTGACTCTCGCTTGTAGAGTTTTTGTTTCAGTGAATATGAATTGGTGCACAAAACGGGCCCTAACCCTTTTTTAAAAAAGAACCCCAATTTTTTTCTGAAAAAAAACAAGCTTGCCCAATTTTGAAAATAAAAATTTCACTTTGATTGACTTTTTCAGGCTGCGCATTTTCAAGTCTCAATTTTTGGCCTCGACACTGTGAAAATACGGTTTCGATAGTTTAAATTGATCCAGTGAGATAAGTAACCGTATGTTATAAAGTTAGTCGGAGACAATGAATTGGCGGCCAACCGAAGATGACAGACAAACTCCGAAGGTTAAATACTAGTTAGCGCCAGACAGATAAATGAGTTAAATAGCACAACTAGAAATGGAACTGGAATCGAACATGAACTAAATTTAGATACTATGACATTTCCCTCCTTGTAAAATTTTTATGACTCTAATTAACGTATCCAATGCAATGCTGTTATCAATAAATTAATAAGGTTAATAACGAGTTTAAACTAGAGTTTTGTCAATCAACTAGGACACATTTGAAAACATAAACTTTTGAGTTTTTGCCACTGCACAGCATGCCCTCTCCCTGGACTTCCACATGTTATAAAGTTTTGTAAGTTTGTTACTCATATTTTCTACTCTTTTTCTTCATTTCGCTCCTGGCTTATCCGCTTTTTGAATGGTATCAATCATAACTGCCCCCATCTTAGTCACTGCTGTTCGTTTTCTGCTCGACCTTCTTGAACTGGTTTCGTCCAATGAACTAGCCGAATCTTGGCTTGAATAGGAAACAAGTCGTTGTTTCCGACCCCGCTTTTTCCCCCGGTTGCTGGAATTTGTTCTGCCTCGCGTTCCTCCTCCTGTTGTATGTCTCCTGCGGTATTTTCTTTCCTCCGGTTAGTTTCGATCTTTTTTCGCGTGCCAACGTACTCTCTGTTGCCGTCTCATAGTTGCTAGGTCGAATCGTGACGGTTTCGGATTGAACTTGGTCCTGTCCCCCACTAGACGTTCCTTGTCTATCTCGTCCAACGTCTGCTCCTCCAATTGTCGGTTCAACAGCTTGCTTAGTTGTGATTAGCGGTAGGTGGTCCTCTTCGTCTGATTCCGAGTCCTCCGCGATTTCCAAATTTTGGAATCGTGATCGTTTCCCCATGGTGCAGTGAGAGGTTCCCTTGGTGCCTTTTGAACTGCTTGGTTGGTTACTACTCGTTAGTAACTTCCGTTTTAGATCCCACGGCGTTGTTGGTGCAGTGATTTGTCCCGGCGCCCGTTTTTTCGGAACTTTTGCTTTCTTGAGTGCTACTCCTGATTTTCTAAGCACAGCACCATTACTCATTTTAATAGTGTCTTCACTTTGATTAACTATAGTGGATTTTAATAGTCTATACCTATTCATGTTCCGCTCCCCGGTCTTCTGCATTACGACTGCCGGTGGTAATTCGGCTGGGTCATTCGGTGCTCGCACATTTGCAGGCTCATCGTCCTGGTTAGCAGCTTGGTCCTCAGCCAATTTCAGTGGATGGCGCCTGTTTTTTCGATCGTACTCTGTCTCAGATCGGACTCCCCTGTTCGTATCCATGGGCTCCGAAATAGCTTGGGCGTTTGGGTCTCATTCATCTAAACAGGCAGATTTTGAACGTATTACATTTTCCCAATTTAGGTTCCATAATGATGGCTTTTTGGTCAAATTTCTGAGAACCGTGTTAGCTTCCCGGCCGTGGTGCGCTTCGAACGGTGTTATGTTGAGGGTGGCGTTTTTGGCAAATTTTAAGGCCCCGAGGGCTCTTTCAATTATCCGATCCAAGTGTTCCGGTTTATCCTCCCGAGCATACGTAAGTACATCGTTCGTCCTCTACCGGTTGTTTTCTATTCGATATAATAAAAACGCGTTTATTATTAGTAACCGGTGGAGACTCGAGTCTATTTCTGGAGAAAGCTTCCTTTTCAAATCCGAGGGCGGATCTAATTCTACTAATTTTCGCCACTGTAAACATACTATCATAGGTGTTGACCGGTTTAGCATCCAAGCTGGGTTGCCTCGATAGGTAATCGGCGAGTCCAATTTTGCTCCGGGTTTGTGCTCTACTTGAAAATCGAACGGTATAAGACGATCTAACCATCTGCTTAGTCTACTGAACATTGTTTTGTTCTTTTTGTTGTTCCCATTTAGCATTGATACAAGTGCCTTATGATCCGTAACAATTATAAATTTTCTCCCCAACACATAGTTTCGGAAATACTCCGCCCCCCACACAACTGCAAGCTTTTCTAATTCATTCGTTGAGTACTTTTTCTCTGCCTCCTTTAGTTATCGGGATGCCATCGGAATTTAGTTGCTCAAGAACCGCTCCGAGCCCGTTATGACTAGCGTCGCATACGATTCTTGTGTCACGGTGTATATCAAAGTGCCGAATTTCTACTATATTAGCCACCTGCTTTTTTAGATTGTCGAATGATATTTGTTATTCACTATTCCAAATATATTCGTTTTTTTTTTCTGCTTAAAAAAGGACGTAACGAGGCTGATGATTCCGCGAGTGCTGGAATGTATTTGTGCTGGCTGTGAATAGAACTCATAAAAATCTTTAGCTGCGACACCGTTTTTGGTGCTTTTAGCGATTCGATCGGTTCCGTTTTCCGGATTAGCGGTGTTATTCAGGTACAAGTTATTTTACGCCTCAACCATTCACATTATTTCCGCGCAAATTGGCATTTAGTAAGCTTAAGCGACATATTCTCGCGATCTAATTTCCGTAGGATTCTTTCGACCGCTCAATTTCAGTGCCTTTGGTGACCACCAGAATGTCGTCAATAAAAGCGTGCGCCTGCGGAAACTCCGAAAGGATCGTATCCATCACTCTTTGAAATTCCACCGGCATGGTTGTAAGTCCGTAGAACCTCATTTTAAAACAATACCTGCCCCTTGATTTTTCCTCCCACCAGCGAAAAATTGCATTGGACACTCGTTTCAGGGCTAAGTGGTAATTGACCGTACGCATACGTAAGATCCATAGTAGAGAAATATACATTTCCTGGTTTCCGTTCATTTATTGTTTGTCCTACCGTATCCATGAGCTCTTCAATATTCGACATTTGGTCTTTATTCTTGTGGACTTGCTTGTTCAACTTCCGGGATTCTAACGCTAATTTCACTGATCCGTCCTTTTTCACTGTTATTAAAATCGGAGAAACAAAATACTTGTCCGAACATTCTTTTAGTTTTTCGATGTGCCCTTGCCGTAAAAGTTTATTAATTTCCTTATCGACCTTATCCTGCAATGTGATGGGCACTCTCCGTCCTTTTTGTTGAATCGGCGTTAACGTTTCGAAAAAATCCGCGTGTACCTTATAATTTTAATTTTTCCGACTCTGTTAAAAAGATTTTCAAATTGCTTACTGAAATAAGTCTAACAGGGGTCTAATGAGTCCTCCCCCTCTGTTGCTTCCGCCCCAGGTTGTTCTCCCTGCACCGACATCACGTTCTCCTCCGGTGCCTTCTGCACTATCTGCAATCCCAGATTTGGCATTACGTCTCTCCCAATAATCGATGGTCTGCTTCCTTTTCGGACAACCTTATTTGAGAATACAATTTTTTTTCTTCAAATCGACATTAAACAAAAGACCCGAGCTGCCGTTTATGAAAGTGACTGTATTAGCTTTCAGTGAGTTTCCTGTTTGACCCAATTCTGAAAATGCCAGTTGATTGTATGTAGTTTTTTTGTAAAAGATCAACCAAATATTGATGCTTTCACTGTGTATACAACAGAGTTTTGACTCTCGCTTGTAGAGTTTTTGTTTCAGTGAATATGAATTGGTGCACAAAACGGGCCCTAACCCTTTTTTAAAAAAGAACCCCAATTTTTTTCTGAAAAAAAACAAGCTTGCCCAATTTTGAAAATAAAAATTTCACTTTGATTGACTTTTTCAGGCTGCGCATTTTCAAGTCTCAATTTTTGGCCTCGACACTGTGAAAATACGGTTTCGATAGTTTAAATTGATCCAGTGAGATAAGTAACCGTATGTTATAAAGTTAGTCGGAGACAATGAATTGGCGGCCAACCGAAGATGACAGACAAACTCCGAAGGTTAAATACTAGTTAGCGCCAGACAGATAAATGAGTTAAATAGCACAACTAGAAATGGAACTGGAATCGAACATGAACTAAATTTAGATATTATGACATTTCCCTCCTTGTAAAATTTTTATGACTCTAATTAACGTATCCAATGCAATGCTGTTATCAATAAATTAATAAGGTTAATAACGAGTTTAAACTAGAGTTTTGTCAATCAACTAGGACACATTTGAAAACATAAACTTTTGAGTTTTTGCCACTGCACAGCATGCCCTCTCCCTGGACTTCCACATGTTATAAAGTTTTGTAAGTTTGTTACTCATATTTTCTACTCTTTTTCTTCATTTCGCTCCTGGCTTATCCGCTTTTTGAATGGTATCAATCATAACTGCCCCCATCTTAGTCACTGCTGTTCGTTTTCTGCCCGACCTTCTTGAACTGGTTTCGTCCAATGAACTAGCCGAATCTTGGCTTGA